ACTTTTTTTTAAAGGCCAGAGGATAACTTCCAATGGCATTCTCTGGGTGCCAACCACTTAGGTTTTTAGGACAGAGTCTCCACACTAGCTTACAGCTTGCTGAGGAGCAGTGCTGACTAACAAATGTGCACCAGCTATGCATTTATTTCTGCCTCTCCAAAAATTGTGCCTACAAGCACTGCCCCATCTCAATTTTCCAGGTCTTCTTTTTGCAAGGCAAGCACTTTAACAATTGAACTATCCCCAGTGCCACAGTGCTTCATTGTAGGCTACATCTTTCCACTATCTTCCTGAGAGTTCCATGGGACAGGAAGGAAAATGATACTGTAATGAAGTCGGGACTCAGGCCTTACAAGAAATTTCCTTAAAGTTTTAGATTCTGAAATGGAAGAGTTCGACTATGCCTTCAAGAATGCTTAATGACAAAGGTGAATTCAAGATACAATTTCCGAGACAAAGTGTCAAATGTCTCATATCTAGTGTCTTGTCAAGCTAATATTAGGTTTAAATCATATTCTGACATGGCACATTGTAAAAACACTAACCCAGATATTTACCTTCTTTCTGACCGAGGTTCACACAGATCTCAGATCCTGCCTATTTTTGATTATATTTCTGTTAATCTAAGGTACTGGTTTGATCTAGAGTAAAAGAGAACCTTGAACAGATACTACCAAAGTTTGATAATGTGCATCTCTTTGCTGGTTTGCAAAGGCAGGAAGTCAGTGATGGGTGTATCCCACCTCTACCTTCAAGACAGTGTCTTCTGTTTACCCTGTTTCAGATGAAGGTCCTCACTGCTTGTAATAATAAGAGTGAGAATGCCTGCTTTTTTAGTGTTATGTGGGATAGAGGATAAGACATAATGAATTTTGGTGTTCAGGGCCTCTCCTTTATCTGCATCATATGATTATATAATTGCTATACATTATGTTTATTATTATACATTAGTCAATCTAAATGGTTTTATTATTTTTAGGTTTCTTTTTTTTCAAGGCAGAGTTTCTCTGTATTGCTCTGGAGCCTGTCCTGGAACTCACTCTGTAGACCAAGCTGGCCTTGAACTCACATAGATCCACCTGCCTCTGCCTCCCAAGTGCTGGAATTTAAGGAGTATGCCACCAACACCCAGCTATTTTTTAGGTTTTGTAAGAGTACATATATATTTTGAGAAGTTGTGAAAGCTACAGAAAGCCATTTCAATAGCGATAGAGATTTGGGTTTCATTCTGTTTGTTTTGACCCCTGGGTCCTTCTTCTATCACAGCAATGTGACAAACAGTGCTTACTCTGCTCCTCCTCTACTACCTGTTTAAGTGATCCTCTCTGCCACGTAAGGCAGAGTTTTGTTCAGTGAAGATGACGTTTCCACCTATTCTGAGCATAAATTCTGGTCAACCTAGAATTTATAATCTTTTGACTAAATTTCCTGATAAGATTACTATGGAAGGATGTCATCAGGGATCTTCTGGGAATTATTTTCTACCTTTCTTAAGAAAAAAACAATGTTTTATATTTAAATGGAATGCTTGACTTTGTGCAAGTTACAGTGTACATATGAAACTGACATATCAATTTCAATTACAACATCTCTGTACCCCCTCTCCTCTGTTGAGAGAAATTGACATATTTTTAATGCCAAGTGTGGGTGCCATAGCACCCATAAATAGGTATATTTTAGATTTATTTTTCTTAATGTGTTTTCCTGCATGAGTTTATGCTTACCACATGCATACAAACCTATAAATGCTCCTGAAACATTTCCTCTAGAAAAGAACAGGGGTGCTCATGAAGCTTAGGAAGTAAACAAGTCTCAAGATGTCCTGATACCAACAAGACTGAGAGGCCACTCCAAGTTTCTGGAAATAGAAAGCAAATACTAGGAGCCTGGCGGCAGTGGTGGCGCACGCCTTTAGTCCCAGCACTCAGGAGGCAGAGGCAGGTGGATCTCTGTGAGTTTGAGACCAACTTTGTCTACAAGAGTTAGTTCCAGTATAGCCTACAAAGCCACATAGAAACCCTGTCTCGAACCACCCCCCTGCCCCCCAAAAAGAAAGAAAATACTAAGAAAAGAGATGATGCATTAAGAGCTGAAACATGTCTGTCTCATCTGCCAAGAGGCCTGCCTACAAGTCATGCAGACATACACTTTTCATTAACCACCACCAGGTTGGGGTGGGTTTTTCAGTGACAAATCTGCCTTTGAATATTCTCTACTGCTAAAGATGACCTATCATTCTTTCTTCTGTAAGTAACCTCAACAAACTCATTGGTTCAGCAATTTAGAGTTTCAGATGATCATTACTTTTGTCTGTCATTGCTCCACTGTGTGTAATTGTTCCACTAAGTAAATATTCCAGGAAATTCTCGAAAAACGAACAAACAAACAAAAAACACAAAATATCCTAAGCAAATTTGAGGCCAAACTCTTCAACATCAGACTTTGTCTAGTCAACAACAATAAGCAAACAAAAAAGAACAAACAAAAGGTTAGGTGGAAGGAGAAGAAAGAGGGGGAGGAGAAATAAAACTTGCAAGGTGGTATACACCTGAAATTCCAGCACTTGGGAAGCACAGTTTGAAGGTCTGTTATATGTTTAAGACTAACTTTAAACCAGATAGAAATCTCCAGACTTACCAGGACTACCTTACATAGTGAGAATTTATTATATAATATTTTAAAATTAGAAATAATTTTCACATCTTATTTTGTTAAATATTTATATAACATTATGTAGCCAAATTATAATTTCAATGTATATTCAATACAAGATTATTAATGCGATGATCCACACTAATTTCTCCATAGTATGGCTTTAAAATATGATATGTCTTAGTACTCTTTGTTCCCTCACATTAGACTATCTCTTAAGTGGTACAGCCTACATGCAGATATAGAATATCAGAGCAGGGTGAGAAAAGATACCTCTCCTGGAATTTCAGTTTAAGAGATTTGAGTGAGTCTAGCAATTAATTCAAATGCTTCCTGCTGGCTTCCTCTTGTGCAAAAGAAAATTTATAAAATTGTTGTCCTTATTCAATACATTGCATCTATTGAACAAAGCATGTGCAAAAAGAAAGTTTGAGAAGAGAAATTGGAAGAAGTAGCAGATATAAATAGTATAGTGAATATTTTGATAGTTTGGGAGCTCTTTCGTCAGGCCACTATCCTACTTGTTTTTCTAACCCTAAGTTTATTTATTTTATTTTTTCTCTGTACTTCAAATAGATTTTATTAATTTGAGAATTTTAACCGATGATTTTAATCATATTCAGCCTCTTTCCTAATTTCTCCTAGGTCCTTACTCCAAACTCCATGCTTTGACTCTCTCTCTCCCTCTCTCTCCATCTTTTGCATATGAACTGACATAGAGTGAAGTCAATATGCCAGCAGGCACACCACTGAAGAAAACAATTTTTCCTCTCACAGTAGTCACCAAATGCCAAGAGCTATTCAGATGGGGATGATCTTTGTACCTACATCTCCTCCTCCATGCTGGAGTTTTGTCTGCCTTAAGCATGTGCAGGTCTTGTACTTGCTCTCTCAACTGTTGACAACTAACACATGCTTCTTCCTTCTGACCTGTGGAATCCCCATTACAAATGGACCCCAATTCATGGAAATGCACATATAGTCTCAGGAACACACACATACATTCTACTATATAGCTGCCTTGAGTTGTGCAGACCTGTAACATCAAAATTCTATTATGCAGGACTTTGAGCGACTGAGACAGAAGGATGATGGTTCAAGGTCATTTTTTTGCCATGTGATATGTTGCACGTCTACATCGTCTGTTTTTATCAGACCCCATCTTTAAAATTGGGAACCAAAAGCAAAACAAAATTAAAAAACAAAACAATTCTTCCACAAAACAAATGAACAAAAAAGGAATGTGCTGAGAGTATAGTTCTGTGGGTGAGTTCTAGCAGGACCAAGTTCCTGGTTTAGATCTATGGAAGTACTGCTTCTCTTTAAAACATTTAATCTGGTGACATAGGATGATGCCATGTAACACCACGTAATGCCTCCTCTCAGAAGGCTACACTCAGTGATTGAGGGCAGCATGGGCTGTGTATTTAGATCCTGACACAAACTAATAGT